ATCGTAAATTAAACAAATTACAGTTACAATTTGTAGCAGTAAAATAAATAAATAAAAATATATTTTATTGTTTATTAAAAAATAATATTATTAAAAAACATTTTTATAAGATTCATACTTCCACATCGTCATGATACATGCAATAATATTAAAACCATTCCCCACCTCAAAATAATATTCTCTTATCTAATTCAATTATAAGACTAATTTTTGTGTTATACTAACAAAGGCTGTTTGTAATTGTCTTAGAATAAATTCATCAATCAAGTTTTTCTGACACCCCTGCATTATACTTACCAAACAAAACAATTTTTTTGTATAAATTTTAGGTTAAAAAAAATTCAAGAACAAATAGGTTTAAGCATATTTTATTAAAAAGAAATATTTATATAAAATAATATATTTATATAAAAAAATAATAACATATAGGTATTTATATGGTGTCCATATTTAAGTATTACAAAATAAAAACTTAATTTAAATATTATTACATAAAAATATAAAATTGACAATATTAAAAAATAAATATGCAAAATTTAGGCGCGAAAGAAAAGGTTTATCGGACCGATAGTTACAGAGAAGTCTGGCCGATATCTTGTTTAACATAACGTGCTTAAATTAACAAACAAAAAATGCAAAACACATTTTATTTTTTAATAAGTTTAATATTGAAGTATTTTAAATTAAAAAAGGCAAAACTTTATAAAACACAACTAGGATACCAAAACTCAAAACCCCCAAAGGATTTTAAAAAGTTTGCTCGACTTTAAAAGCTATGGCCGTTTAAAGTTTGTCTCGTTGGCGTACCTAATCTGTATTACTTTTCCATTAATATTTATTTAAATGTTTTTTTAAGGAAAATTATAATTGATGATCAAATGCTAAATTTTTATAACCAATAAAACATCCAGAAAAGTCGCATTTATTAATATTTTAGATAAAAATTTTACGTTTTATCGTATTTTTATATGGTTATATGAAAAATATGACTTATTTTGTAAAAATAATCATTTAATTAACAGCAAATAATTCCTTTTAAAAATAATTTAAAAATATTTTCAAAATAATAACAATCAATTTAAATATTAAATTTTATTTTAAATAAAAAGTTTTGAATTCAATAAGGTAAACAAATTCACACGAACTATTGCAACTAAAACGGTAAATCAAGTATTTAAGCATAATAGTAGAGTGTTAATATAAATAATATTTTTAAATATATAAGAATATTTTTATAAATGATTTTTTTGGGTAGTTTTCTAGTAGAATTGTAATATTATATTATAAATATCTATTTTCCATTTAAAATATATGTATTTTTTTTATTTTAGTTTATATTTCTAACAAAGGTTAATATTATATGATATTAAATCACATTTAGTAAAAAATTAAATCTAAATCAGTTTTGACTTAATTACTTCATTTTTTTGACAGGGTCAGGGCTTAAAATATCACTTATGCTTTCTCCAGGAATATTGCTTGGGTCATTATGTAGAACAACAACATTTTCCATGTAAACATCAAGGATACCCAGTGTATTTAACATCTTTAAACCTAGTAGAGTAACCACTTCTCTGGCAGATTTTGGATTTATTCCCTCCCCAAAACAAAGAACTGTTGGATTGATCGACATAGATAACAAAGTATAGGATTTTTCGTTTTTTTCATTTTTCGATGTCAAATCCAAATAATTTACTTCAAATTGTTTGGAATTTGCGAATTCCAATAAAGTTGTTTGCCGTTTGACGTTCTTGTATTTTTGAATAAAAATAAAACAAAAATTATATTACTTATTGGTGAAAGGCGAAGTAAGTTAATACAGATTACGCGAACGAGTCATTCAAATGGTCATAACTTTTTGGTCTACAAAGATACCATCAACCCATCCAGACCGCATCCAGGTAATTTTTAATGTACATGAAATTGTGTAATTAAGCAGTACAAAAAGATACTTTTTTTATTTTTGAAACTTTATATTTTTTGTTTTACACTCTGATCCTCCAGTTTTACTGTAGCGATTATTTGCAAAATCTTCAGATGTATACATCCAACCCAATTATGGTTGGTATGGCGTCGACTTTTGCTAACGGTTTCACGAATAGGGTTTTTAAATCAATTTAATTTCTACACAGGGACTTTATTGTTAAGAGATCAGTTTATAAAGACAAAATAAGTTTGTTGTGCAATTGTACTTGGGGATTTTATTATCTTTATAGTATAGAAAGCCCTTGTTATTAACTCAAATGGGTCACTGGAATTGGTATGAAAAACCATAAAAATTTATAAAAGACAAAAAATAATCTACAATAAGTGATTACCTACCTGAAAAAAATACCGTTTGGAAGTCACTGGCGCACGTACTAAAAAGAGTGGGGGTCAGTGAGTACTGTACCACCCTATTTTGATTTTTTGACAATTGTTTTTTGTTTTGTTGTCCTCAACTTTTTATGTTGAAGTAGTGTACCGAATTTGAACTTAATATTTTATCAATTACTCGAATTATTAAAATAAATCAATTTTAAATTTCAAACTTTATCGCCCTGTATATCGAACATGAAGCTCTAAATTGAAAAATGGTATTATAAAAGTGTAATTGTTTTAACTCAAGGAATATATGGTTAAAGGATTGACCTCTTTTTTCCAGACACCCTGTATAACAATATCAAGTGTAAAAAATGTGAAAAAATATATTTTTTTGACGATCGCGAAATTATTTAAACATATAACGAAGAAAATTATTTGCTTGAAATAACAAACGGAAAACGCAAGCCACTTTTTATTTGTTTGTGGTTTTATTTGAAATGTAAAAGTACATTTGAAAATCCAATTTGTAACTTTAAAATTGTAGTACCTATTTAGAATTAAAAAAGACAAATACTTTATTAATCGAACAGTTTGGAAATCAGAAGTCATATCGTCCCCTTAGTTCAACAACTAGATAACTTGAAATTTATAGTTTTGAGAAAATCCACTTTAAAGATTTAAAACGAAACAAATTACAGCTGTTAAGTAATCAAAAATATTTAACATCTATGATATTATCTGATTACTTAACAGCTGTAATTTTTTTGCGTTTTAAATCTTTAAAGTGGATTTTCTCAAAACTCGAGTTTCAAGTTATCTAGTTGTTGGGGCGATATCATATCATTGTTGACTCATGGTTAGGCGGCAACGCCATAAAAATATCCTCCAGTGACAGAATAAACACTGGCAACACTGTTGGACCTCAGCTTAATGTTATAATATCAACTTATACAAGGGCGGATCTCGTCTATCACTAACTTTTTAAAGGATCTCGTGTTGTGTTATATACTTGGTGTATTATTTAATTGCAAAAAATGTTTCCCCTCTGTTGGTGTACTTGCTAACAATATTGTTTTAGTTAATTTTGTAATATTGGTTTTTTCTAATATGCTATATTTTAAGTGGATCTCAGGTTGCCTAGGGTTTATCAGGATCTCACCTTTATATGAATACGTGTATATATATATATATGCACCCGAATGGTATTTGACAAGACTTTTTCATTAGTAACAGTTAACAATTAAAATATACCCTAGAAACCTAGAAACCATTTGTAATTCTAAATTGCGCGTTTGTGATTGGTGGAAATTAAGACGAGGAAAATAGTCTTTGAAATAGTTTATTGAGTGGATTAGAGTTCTGCGCAACAATGGTTACAACAATTGTTTTATTTTCTTTGTGTATAACCTTCAAAATTAAGATTTGTGGTAATCCTAGCCTGATGTATAATCATATATTATATCACGAGAACTATGAATTTAATCGGTTAAACTAGGCTCAGTAGTTTTTTGTTTGGTTTTTGTTGGAAAATGTTGAATGCAAAATAATTTAATAAAATCACGAGACCGCGTAGCGGTCGAGGGGTTTTATTTTTAATTATTTTGCATGAAACTATTTTCCAAAAAGAAAAATCAAATAAAAAACTTACTGAGCATAGTTTGACAGATTAAATTTATAGGTTGAATGAAATACGTATAGATTATTTCTCGAATTAAAGGAAACTATTTGACAATTCATAAAATCTGACGTATGTGTCAAAATTTATAAATATTTTTTTAAAGAAAATTCCATTAATTTAAGGTATGTTATAAGTAATAATTGATATTTCGTAAACTAGATAACTTATTTTTTATTGTTTTTTAAAAAATGTTTGTTAAAACTTGTAAATAACACCATAAAATCGTAAACAAAAATCCAATATGGAGGCTAAAATTTAATCGCTGTTAAATAGTTCTAGTGATTTAATCGCTTATTTAAACGAAATTTATTCGAAAATTCAAGGCTTTTGATTGGTTCATATTATAATGAGGGAAATAATCTACACAAAATTTAAGGAAAACTGAGTCAGTGTGGTGAACTGCACTTTTTGATCAGCCGTGGAATAACCCTAAACTAATATGGTCCGCTAAAAAAATTGGAACATTTAACTTTGCTGCCTGGACCTAAACTCTAATTACCCGCTTTGGTGTATATTGTACATCAGTGTATACAATTACCCAACCTTTGAGTAGTGTATTTGGAACGTGATTTATTAGTTTTATAGGTACCTACTATTTGATCATAAATTACTTGTAATAATAACGAAAATTGGTGTATAAAATACAACGCGCGAATAATTATGCATGTTTTATTCAAAAATTTATTATTTATTACGTAATATTTTTTCAATAATTTTTTTGAGTATATAGAAGGCATATGTCATTAAACAATTTTTATAGTTTACATAGAGTTTATTATTCTCTATAATAAACTATGCAATTTATTTGTGCATAAAATGATTGTGACAATTTATTTAACCGTTTCAATTTATAGTTGGTATTTTTTCTTAGAATTACCCAGTATATAATAAATTTATTAAGCATATTTTTGTCAATATTTAATAATGTTTTGTAATAAAACTAATTATCGTTACTGTTAAAAAAGAAGCTAATTTAATTTATTTAAAAATATAAGGACAAAGGAAATCATAACAATACCTAAAGGGAATCCAGCCGGTTGTAAATATCCCATTAAAGTGGAAAAAGGACCGAATAACAAGTACTCGTTCAGGATGCGAAGGCCAGGGATCCGCATATCGTCTCCCCTGGGAACGTCCAAAAACTGTAAGCCGTCTGTAATCGGTGAGTTGCTTGCGATGAAGCCGTTATTCGATCGAACTATCTTCTTATCATCGTTTTCTTCTGATTGAGACTGAATATTGTCTGATTTATTACCAATCTTTGGTGACCCATCGCTGCTGCTGAAATGCAAAAACATTGATTTATACTTGGCAGATTTGCATTTTAATATTAAAAAATTGTGAAATAATTCTTTATTTTTGTAATTATTTAAATTAAAATATAAACTATTGGTCTAAATTTTATATAAATTAGTATTATGTATGAAGTTTTATAAGCTCCATTTTGGTAACGAGTTTTATTAGGCACGAGCGAAGCTTGCAAACGAGTGTTTAATAAAAACGAGTGTCTGGAGAAGTTTATAAAACTAGTTGTAAACTATACTTTACCTACGACGAACACAAATAAAAATTTAAGTCCAATTTTATTCGTTAAATATTTGACATCTGAAAAATTTAACCGTTTTTGCAACTTCAGCCTAAAATGCCCAAAATCCAGTAAGTATGGCTAACTTTAGCCCTTGACTAAAACACTATAAAATAACAGCTTGTCAATGTGGAAAAATGTAACATCTGTTAACCTCACTTTTTTCCAATTTAAAACCCGATTGGCCCAAATCAGAGTGAATATTGAGTTCATTATTCCTCTTGTTAGGAGTGGCGGCTCGTAGGTTCTGGAAGAGGGTGGGCACAAAAATTTACCTACTAATTTTTGTACATAAAGTCCATGCGAGAAACTGAATTTTCGTGTTTCTTAGCCCTCTCTGCGATGTGTTTTAAATCATCTAACTCATGTTTATTCCACGCACATAATTTTTTTTTTTTAATTAAGCACATAAAACAAAAAAGCTTATTGGTTACTGAACATCCGCATATCCACTTGAATTTTTCATAGATATTTCTGTTGAATACTCTATTGTAAGTTCGGCCTAGTGTAGTGAATTCGAAGATCGAGAATATGTCTTCCTTTTTTCTTAACTAAAAGTTTATCTTCAAGTGACATCAGGCTGTTTAAAACATTTTGCACACAACTTACTTCCGCTGGTGCCAATAAGGTCGCAAAATGTAATGACGCAATATTGTATTACGGATGTATATATATATGAGGCCTGGCAGAGCAAAGTCAACAATCTCCCGTCAGACTAAAACTGAGTAAATTGAAATAATTGATTTTGGTATTTTAAATTTTAGATTTGTAATTTTTTTTATATATTTTATTGAAATATTGTTGTTGTTAGTCTAGTAGCCAACTACAAGGTCTCCAGGATGCATAGTATAGGTGAAATCTATAATTATAAATTGGAGATTGCTGACTTTGATATGAATTTCTAGAGATTGCTCATTTTGTTGTGAACGTTTAAGGAGATGTAGAAAAATAAACAAAAAAATAATTGTATTTTTATTCCTTTAATGGTTATAAAATTTAACTATACAATCAATGTGGGAAAATTCTGAAGTGGACCACATAAATCTGGAGTTTCTTCTAAATCTGGGACCAAGTTTTTATATTACAACAACTTTTCTTCCCACTTTGACCGGTAATGTTTTACTTGCAATGTTTTGAAATTATCAGCCTTTTCTTGCTGTACCTTTACGTCTTATTATGGTATAATAGCACAAAATAAACAAGATAACTTTTTTTATAATTCTTAAAAACAATAAAACATATATATACCTATTTTAAATATATTTTTAAGTGCAATTTACTGCAATGGAACTTAACAGTATGTACAGGGTGATCCCCTATAATGTCGCCCCCTTTAACTTTTTTATTTTTAGTTTCCCAAAAAATTTAAAAGTGTGGTTATGTAGGGACTAAAAAATACTTTTTTTCCACGTATAAAGAAAATTGAAAAATTGATCATTATACAGGGAAAAACAAATGTATATTTTTTTCCAATGGATCACCCTATATATGTATTTATTTTTTCGATTCCTTGTAAAATTCTAAGAATATTTTATATAACATACCATATACCTAAATTCAACCGTTTCTGAAATATTTAAATTATTTTTAAGATAATAATTTGAAATAGTTTGTGTTTCTCTGTCTGAGTACCCCATTTTTACTTATTTAACATATTGACATAATGTGACTATAGTAATTTATTTTAAATAACAATTTTGATATACTGAGGCTTCTTGATTTCTAAAAGTTAAAAAAAACATTTAACGATAACATTTCGAATGCGAATATTTCAGAAACGGTTGAGTTTAGGTATATGGTTTGTTATATGAATTATGCTATTTTACAAGGAATCGAAAAATAAATTCATATATAAGGTGATCCATTAAAAAAAATAAACTTTTTGATGTATATTGATCAATTTTCCATTTTTCTTTCAACGTAGAAAAAAAGTATTTTTTAGTACCTACATAACCACACTTTTAAATTTTTTGTGGACACTTAAAATAAAAAAGTTAAAGGGGGCGACATTATAGGGGATCACCCTGTACCAGTAAAAAACATAAAATTAAATCTCTAAAATACGTTATAACATCAAATGTTAGAATATCAGGTGACACAAATTACTAATTTCTAATGGTGGACATGGAGATTGTATACTTTGCTGCAAATCTATCTGTGGAGATTGTCGACTTTGCACTAATGTCATTTTTAAAATAGGATTTTAGGCAGGATTTAGCTCCTTTTGCAGCACATAAACTTTATCATCTTATAGATAATTAGTTGAAGTACAGTCTCCGCCAAAAATATAATTTTTGACCAAAAGTGGAGATTTTCGGTTTTGCTATGACAGGCCTTATATATATATATATATATATATATATATATACAGGGTGTCTCACCAGCGATGGTACCTTAGACGTTTACGGAGAACGGCTGAGGATATATCAATTTGAAATTTTTATAGGATTAATTGTACAATTTAATCTACCTTTAAAAATTATTTTAAATAAAATTCCTCTTCCGGTTTAACCGGAAGCGACATCAATTTTGATATTTCCAATGAAACACCCTGTAAATTTTTTTAATTTTTAAATTCTTCATGAAATTCCTAATGAAATTGCTGTACCATTCCCTATACCTAAACTTAATAGTTTTCGAGTTAATAATTTTTTTCGTAAAATATTGACAGTTGCACCTTCATTAAAAATTGCTTATAATTTTTTGATATTCGGTTTGCTGGTATGCTGTAAGGATTTTTGGAATCTTAAAACATTGTTTTAAAGATTCCATGTCTGAAATTTTCATATTTATGATCAAAAACCAGAGAAAAATCGTGGTAAATTTGGTTAACTTCAAACATTAATAACATGTTTATTTTTAATGGAACGGTATGCATGTTTTTATATAATCAAATAGGAAAATGATTTACATTTCGATTGGTATAACCATTCCCTATACCTAAATAGTAAGGTTTCGGAAATACAAGCAAATTTCTGTAAAAATCCAATATTTTGACATATTCATCTCAGATACCGATGAAATGTCACAACAAATTAGTTACGTCATTGATTGGCAGTTGATACATTTCTTAACCAAGTGGTGTTCATAATTTCCAAAAGCGTTCAAAAATTAAGTAAAATGGATAGAAACAACTATTCCAATGAGGTTTTGATGCAAATAGGAGGGCCACAAACAAAAAAATGTTTGCAAGTCAATGGTCGCCATTTTGAACATTTATTAAAATAGTATTTTGTTTGTTATTTTTTCCATCACGTTTTTTATATTCTTAAAACTTTGTTTAATTGTTGTTTTCCATTATTTTTAAAATATCTTCTTTAAGAAATGTTTCAACAATTTCATTAAGAATTACATGAGGAATTTAAAAATAATAAAAATTTACAGGGTGTTCCATTGGAAATAACAAAGTTGATGTCGCTTCCGGTTAAACCGGAAGAGGAATTTTATTTAAAATAATTTTAAAAGGTAGATTAAATTGTACAATAATTTCTATAAAAATTTTAAATTGATATCCTCAGCCGTTCTCCGTAAACGTCTGAGGTACCATCGCTGGTGAGACACCCTGTATATATATATATATATATATATTATATATCAACTATAGTTAAAACAAAACGATACGACAAAACATATATTAACTGACTCTTACATTTTATTTGAATAATATCGTGTCCAATTAATTACCTATTCCGTTGAAAGTTAAAAGTCATGGCGAGCAGTGATTTTTATGGATGTCTGCAATAAAATAATCAGCGGTTAGTATATTTCAAGGTTCTTGAGTAAATTTTATTTATCCCCTCTCCTCCTTTTCACAATTTAAATTTAATTTAGACATGGTTGTGCCCGTTTTCGTACAGTGTGACCGAATTGTTTGCTACTCCCCTGTAAAATCTTTATTTATTGTGCGATTTTAACCGGATTTGTATTATAAGAGTAGATCTTGATAAACTGTATTTTTGGAGCAAAAGACGCCATATTAGTACAAGATACAAGGCCTACTATGTCAGTTTTTAAGAGTAAATTTTTTAGAATTCATATTGGCGTCTTTTAGTGTATACACTAAATTTTATTAAAAAATTTAAATAAAAAATACACAATAATGACTACAAAAATTTATTATGTCAAGTAACATGGTACTATTACCATAAGTTCAATTTTATTTCAATGTTTTTTCATGGATAACTTGACAAAATAAATTTTTGTAGTTATTATTGTGCTTTTTTTTCTTAAAATTTTTTAATAAAATTGTAATTCCATCAAATAAAACACCTAAAAAGTAAAACAATTGAAAGGCGAAAGGCTACGTAAACTGAGGTTAGCTAGCCGAAGAATTTCATCTAAGCCGAAATACCTACATGATGAATTTTGCGACGTTCTAGTAAAATCCTTAGGCTGAGCTTGGGTCAAAATATTAGCCAAGTAATTTTAATCTTTATTTTTTACTGTGTAGCTTCTCCAGGAGGACCTAAAAGTCCTAGGCTAGGACCTAGCAGTGGGGAGTTGTTATCGTATTCTTTATGTTTGTTATTATATCCTTTACGATCTGTGATTATTAACAGTAGGCAGGAGAACGTGAAAGGCATTTTTAGTCACGAGACAACGATAGACTAATTTTGTGTATAAACCTTGTAGGTGACTTTAAATCCTTTACATTAACTTACTAAGGTGGTTGTAAAGGGGCCCTCACACGTTTAAT